TTCCCACAGATGCCGCTGCTGCTCGCTTCGGGGGCAATCGGTATTGTGGGGGCCTTGTCTTCTGCAGTGCGGACGGCGGTTTTGGCAGTTGACATTTACCGATGGCCCCCCCAACATTTTGAAAGGTTCGGTGGCGTTTGCTTCTGATTTTTACAGGGCGCTCTATTTTTTCAGCTCACTGGCCCAGCGGACTTCATATGGCTGACAGGGCTCTCTATCAGCTCCGCGAAAGGTGGCTACGAATCGTCTCCTGCCGCACAGCTCGCCACGATGTCGCCGTGGACACGCGACACATCGGCGGTCTGGTGGTTTGGACTTGCCATGGCAAAACCCTTTGGCCTTTGCCCTGTGCATGCAGGCAAAAAGAGAAGCATCAACGACAGAAGCGCAGCGGCACGGGACGATTCGAGTCTGCAGCAGTGAGCCAGCCAGAAATGGTGCGGATATTTTTCTTTTGAATCCTTTCGATTCTGGACTCCGGTTTTGGTTGGATCATTTTGATGCCGCTCGCTTTTGGAGGTTGGATCCAGCTTCTGAGGTGGTGAACCTTTCCTCTTTGCTGGTCATCAAGTACACCTCCAGTGGCGCCCACAGAGGGCAGTCGCGGCTTCCTCCCTGTTACCAGGATCAACAAACGTTTTGTCCTAGGCCAATGGTTGGTTGATCCTCAGCCCTTTCCTTGTTTCGGTTTTTGACATGGGGGTTGATCAATGTTCCTGGCCGCCTCATTTTGTAAAGGTAACTTTTCGCACTGAGGGGGACATATATCGAATTTCTTTTTCGCGCGGTTTTCCACGCAGCGGTCCTAGCGGAGCTTTTGATCAACCCTCACATGTTTTTTGTGTTTCTTCTTCGGCAGTTTGTACTCAAAGCCCCAAAGATGCTCTTGAGGCCTGTTGGCCAAGCTCCTGGTGATCGTCCGGTGCAGCGCGCTGGCCCGGGCCACAAGCCGTTGAACCTTCGGAGGGATGGTCGAAAGGACAAGCATGGGTCCTGGAAAAGGGGAGGCGACCTTTGGCTTCTGTTTGGTTGGACCTTCAACCTTTCACTTTCGTGAATATGCCATACCTTTTGGACGGGGCGCAACATGTACCGCTTGCGAGCTTGGAGTCCCTTGCCGCGCAAGCGCGGAGAAGGCTGCCCCCGCCAGAGAGCCGCACCCGCGGAGCCGGGCGAGGTCGATTTCGGTGCGCGGAGGGTGCAAATGGGTCAACTGGCCGGTCTTTTGCTTTGTTGCCTTGCAACCTCCCAAACATGTGCCAAAACGAGGGACTCCCTCCTTCACCCACTGAGGGGGGAGATGTGCCATGGGAGTCGAACTTTTTTGTTTTTCGGGCGGCTCCGAGAGGAAACCGGCAACAAAAAGAAGGGGTCTCTTGTATTTTGACACGTTTAAGTATCATCCCATAGTTTTGGGGTCTTGGAATATTTTTCAAGTACCTCGCCAGTGATCCACAAAGGTTGGGACTTCAATGTTTGGTTTGTGCGGAGATTTGCCGGGGACGATCGTTTATGCTGTCTACTTTCACCCAATCAGCTGATAATGGATTCAGTTGCATCCATCAGGATTTTGGGAGAAGCCATGGCGACTGGCGTCAGGACAGTTGGTTGCCTGTTCACAAAACAGGCATTCCCTAGAATGGTCGAACAAGCCAGACAATCCGATCATAGAGACAACTGCGTCATTCGAGCATATTTTGTGTTGGCTCCCCTTTTGGCTGTTTTCGCAGGCAACAATAAGGGCTCTAGTTGGAAGCTTCCCCAGATTCTGCCAGAGCAAAACAGTCGACGTCGTTCGCGACCGAAAGCCTAGGGGATCAAAATCAAGCCTGTGGATAGCCCTAGTATTGGAAGTATGGCACCACCCATAAACCATGTCAACTTATCCACACAGTTCAAATTGGTGGCAATGAGCCTTCGGAGAATCCCGTATGATCCAATGATACTTGGTACCTTTTTTTGCTCTTTATTGCTCTTTGTTTGCAGCATCCCATACCCTTTGAGTTGATATTTTGCTGAGGCAACATAATATAGCCTTTCTGTGTCCACCGTGCAGGGGGGTCTGCAAACAAATGGCTGTGGGTCAAAACTCTGTACCCCTGATGAGCATCAAAATAGCTGGCATATGGATGTTCATCCACCCCAAAATGGCTCGCCATAGGTTATGCCATGGCCAAATAGAGCGGAAGCATTGCAACCAAAGCCCTGCCGAAATCCCCGAACTCCTCTGAGACCCCGCGCGCGGGAGTGAGGTCCTGTTCTTCATGGCCATGGGCGAGGAGTTCACCTGGCTCCAGGCCTTGGCCCCGCGCATTCCCAAGGATTTTTCGGGAAAGCCCAAGAGAAACGAGCCGTGGATTGGCCGAAGTCTCACTAAAACGTGTTCATCTGAAGCCTAAACCAAAACTGCGGGGGGTTTGTGGATTTTGGTTCTGAGGAACACAGATCAAGACGGGCTTTTGCTGGCTTTGATGAAGCATGGCGCTCTTCATGTAATCTGGAGAATCTGGTCATTTTAGGGGGAATGGTCTTCCGGATGAATCCAACGTTGACAGTATTGCCTCAGTACTATTGCCTCTTTCTGAAAGAAAGTTTGCACTTGCCGCGGGGCATGTGCCGCTCCCACAAACTCAGCACCCCAAAAACAGGGCAGTTCGCTCGAAAGAAAGGTATGAGCTACGGGCAGCCTGTGCGATGCAGCCAAGGAAAGACCAAAACCAAGCCACGTGAGGCAACGAATACGTATCCTGTACCCCAAATACCTACAATTGGTAGATTAGATGTGGATCCCACCTTGAATGTTTGGTGGTTGACCCCTTTTACCAGTTGTTTTGCAAAAGAGACACCCGGTTTGCGACTCAGGGGGCCAATCCCTTTGGAAAAAGGGGTGATCCCAGTAGTCCTTTGGTGGCCCAGTATCGAAGGATTTGAAGATTGGAACCATCCAGTGCATGGGACGTTTCTCATGGATGGCTTGTTGGTCCACCAATGATCGGGTACATGATCATAGTTTGGGCGTGTCTTTTTCTGAGGGGACGCCCAAATGGTGGTTTTCCTTTTGGCTTTCCCTTAAGCCCACCAAACAATGGGCACCCTCGAAACAAGACACACCCATATGTCACCAACCAGACATATTTGGGACCTCAAGGATGGAGGTCTCTTCATGGGTGAGGTAGCCGGAATTTGACCCGCGTCCCTGGCAGGATTCTGCATTTACCATATTTACCCAGAAAACCACCTGAATTGTACTAACCCCCCACCCGCCTTACTGGATGTGGACCCCCGTGAAAGCCAGAGACGAGCAAGACTTCCACGGTTCCACGTGCAGTTCCTTCGGAGAATCCATTGTAAAAAAATCCCGCATGGCCATGCATGTGAGTGGCGGAAGCGGCTTCAGCAAGTGTGCATCACATTTCGTGAGCCCGTTGTTGGCCGGCTTTGAAGTTTTGGAAGGCCCCCTCATTTTGGGAGACGAGAATGGACAGGTGGTGGGCTACATCGTGACCATCATAGCCTTCACCGGGTACTCCACCCTCAAGGCTCGGTGCATGGATGACACGCGGCCATGCGAGCAACGCGGGCGTGTCTTCAAAGTAGCCCCGCCCCGTCCCGAAAATCTCGGGCTTGCTCTTTGGCCCAAAAGGAAAAGCGACGACCACTGAAAGGGGGTTGTGGCCGCCATGTTCGCAGGGTAGGTGTTCCGCTTTGGGTCTTAGTGGTGAGCAGGCTGTTCAAAGAGCGGGTCTTGGCAGGGCTCGAAACGGGCCATTCCGGCCATTGGGGAAGGAAAGGCGTGTTGGATCGGGAGCCGCCTGCTGCGAGCCGCGATAGGCCACTGAAATGGATGAGAAGGAGGCGCATGAGCGCATGAGCCGATTCGTGGTTTGTTTATGCTTGGTGTCTCAATTTCTTTGGTGACCAGCGTTTTCGCACCACATGTCCGCTGGTGGAGGAGGGACACGGAAGGGAGCACATAGTCTTCTCTGTGTGTGATGGCTCACACGCCATGGCGTTTTTGTTGTTTGGATGTTTCTGTGATTTTGTTCCTCCTTTCTATAGCTGGGGGCTGTTCCAATCTCCTGCGTTCCAGGGTCTCGAGCATTTGTCCATGGGCATCGGGGGTCTTTCATTCCCTTGTTCTGTTTTCAATGGCGGATGCTTTTTCGTTTGTCCAAAAGGGGGGGTAGTTTGAGAGCAAAAATGGCAGATGGTTTGTCTTGAACCTCTTCAGAGGCATGGAACTGGATGGTCGGGAAAACGAGCTTCAAATTGGCCCTACACCCAAAAAGGGTGCTTCTCGGTACCACTTCAACAGCCGAACCAGGGAACATTCAAGTGCAGAGGGCTGTGCGCCAGGATGAAGAGTTTCTGAAGATCGCCAACCTCGAGGCACAGTGACGATCGATTCGTTTACTTCATCACTGAAACCATTGGGCCATTGCGAAAGTTCAAGTTGCTGCACTCTGCAAGCTGGCAGACCGTGCCTGCTGTTAGTTGGTGAATCCCTTTTTGTACACATGCGGTCTTTGACCCGCCCCAAAACACAGTTTCCCGTAGATTTCCGTTTGCATATATCATCCCTCTCTATTTGAATACATTGGACATACATATCTACATATATAACATGATACACATGCAGGTGTATGAGCCACCAATTTGAAGGTCAGCATGGGCAAACTTCTAGCGGCACAGAGCTGCCGCATTGGATCAAGCTGCTTCGACGGATGTCCCAGCGCATCCATCCAGTGGATCGGCATGCTGCACCGGATTGGCGATCCTTTCAATGGTTGTTAAAGGGTGATGCTTTCAATGGTTGTGAAAGCCATCTCTTTGGTTGTGCGATCCTTCCAATGCCCGGACTCGGTTGGGGACTCGACCAGAGATGGTTGACCCAGCGGTTGCTCTATTGACCCTGTCAAGGCTTTGACGCTTTGACCCCTCTCCTAAGACAAAACTGCAAAGCCATCAGCCCCAGGAGGGCGGCCGGGAGCTGCTCATGCAGGCGGTTGCTGTCCTTCTTCGCATTCTGTTGCTGTCCAGCTCGGAGTTATCGAAAATCTCGTGGAATCGTTTTTTTAGTTGAATATTGGCCTGGAGGCTCTTGGTGGGAAGTGTGCCAAATTCAAATATGTTTGTGTGCAGACTGGTTGTGTGCCTTTCTGGTAGAGTTCTTCAACGAGTGTCCCCAAACCACGGACTAGATCCAGGCTGAACAAGGATGGTCGACAGTTTGAATAGGGCTTGGCGAGTTTGGGAAAATCGAAGGCTTACCTTTGGTCTCCTGGCAATAAGTTCAGCCCTCAACCTTCGACAGACTGTCTGAGGCGACTACCCAACCCCAGGCACACGACATGCTGAAGGGACATAGGTCTCGCATGGGTTTGCCTCGCTGGTGGTTTGCCTCTGTAGACCTGTTTGAGTTCCTTATGGAGCTGTCAGCATCTTTGCTTTGCCGGCCGTGTGTCTTTTTTGGGAGTCCCTTTGATGGTTGGCTTTGAAGGGAAGCCAGCATGACACTTACCATTTTGGGGGCGCCCCCGACATTGAGACACACCCCTATGCATACTATCAGGATCGCTCAGCGTATGCCAGTTCCTAGGATGCCAGTCGACGTGTCACTTTTGGGCCTACGATCTGTTTGTTTGAACCAGTTTTGCTCCCACGCCTGTTCAGACCGAGTTCATGTTAAGACATCAAACCACGCGTGGTTTGAACATCCAGATGGTTGGCCCAACCCAGGGACCTTGACATGCATCCGCCAAATCAGTGCATGGGTTGCTCCGGACGCCAAACCGATTTCCTGCCAAGCGGCCTCGGCTTTCAGAGCAGAGGCTCACCGATTTCGCGCTCAGGAAGAGGATCGGGCCGGGTGCTCAGAGCCGTCCGAGTGGTTGGAGCCAGCTCTCTGAAGATTGCGTTGCCGGGGTAACAGAAGCGATGGGTTTCGGCTTTTCTTTTCGGGATTTCATGATGCCACAAGATGAAAGCAGGCTCTCTCAGACTAGGAGAAGCTCTGCCTGATTTCTGGCAGGGCTTCATAAGCCCCACGATGAAGCATTCTTTCCCAGGGCTGGCTTGATTCACGTTTTTTGGACATGTGCTTGTTCTCTTGCAGAGTGGTTGGCATTTGGTGCGCTGATCTTGAATCTGTAACGTTGGCTTCTTTTGGTTATTTCCAGAGGTACAATCCTCGTTTCCGTTCTTTTCCCTAGGTTACAGGGGCTCACAACTTAAGGTTGGGACTTTTTTTGCATCCCCCAGACAAACTCCACAAGTAGTTGCCTGAAAAGGGGTTTGGTGCTCCTTGATTGCTTGGGTACACCTTCCCCCCCCGGGCTTTTCTGGGATAGAACTGCCCCGGCTTTTCTTACCCCGGGCGGGTGCTCCTCGTGCGGATCGAATCGGCCAGACGCCGACGACCCCCATGCAGAAGGTGATCGCTACGGCCTGGGGACCTGGGGGCCAATTGGAAAGGAGGCGATTCAAGGAACATCTGTTGGGCGATTTGGTTGGCATCTGAAAAGTTGCTTGTGGCAGTTTCGAGGTGCTAGGGGTTTTCTGGCGTTGGGAAGAGATCCTTGCACTTTCACTTCTCGGTTGGCGCAGGTGGGATTGTAGCTTTTTGCAGAGGGGTCGTTGCGGCAAGGGCAGGCGCGAGAGATGCGGCCTCTCAAACCCGAAGGACCCGGGTCAAGCCAGCTTTTGGAAGCACCCAGTTGCCAAAGAAAGGCAGCTCTTTAGCTGGAGGTCTGAGGCTGAGGTGTAGGATTCCGGTTTGGGCATGCTTCTAGTGTCCTGGACCCGCGATCCGCCAATGCCAAGCGCTTCTGCTCGGCTTGAAGGGAGAGGGTTCCTTTTGCCGTTCTCGTTTTCGGAACTGGGTTGGTACCCCGCTTCAGGCTGGCCGATCAGTGACCCCGGATGTCATAATTTGAATAAATCGGCTGAGGATTTGACGTCCTTCTTTTTCTGGTTTGCCCTGCTCATTGTGGTGGTCGGCGGCTACCAGGCCGGGAAAGGGAAGGTTGCTGGCCGGAGCACAGATGCAGGCCGAGTGTTGCTCTGGGTTGCTTGATTCAAACCGTTCCTAAACAATGACCCTATGCCAAAAATAGACAGACTTGGTGAGGTCTCCACTGGTTTCCTGTATCCTTTTACCAGGCCCAAAATTCTACCCTTGCGGGGTCTTTGGAACAACCCGGAGAGTCGATCCCAGCAATCCACACGACTTGCAATTCAACAGACTTCAGACGCATCGAACCTTCTCCAAAGCCGACTTTCGGCTCGGTACTCATCGGCTCACCTCCCAAATGGCTGAGCGCAAGGCTTGGGCCACGGGTTTTCTGCTGTCGGGCTTGGCAGGCCTACGTGCTCGGCGAGATCGAGCGCAACGGGTACTTGGCCAGCCGGGCGGCTGAGCACCGGTCACGCCAGAAGTTCTCATTGGGACTCCAACCTCGGGTTATATCGGGTGTAAGCAAGAACTGACCCCACATGACGGGAATCCGATTGATACAAGCTCATGTTTGGATGGCCATCCTCGCTTCGCAAATACATGTAAAACATGTCCAGATCAAATGTGCACAAGGGGACTCATGCAATTTCTTCTTTCATGGCGAGCTCGACTTCACTTCGGCCCAAGAAACGCTCCAGTTCTTTTTCCACTGGCTTATACGTGAATGCAGATCTGGCCTTGACCCGGCGCGTCAGAAATCTGTGGCCGCGGAGTTCAGGCACCTCCGAGCTGGCGCTGGCGGCCTCCGACGGGGCGGGGCCGAATGGATCGGAGCGGGGGGTTCGGGGGGTTCCGAAGCGTGACGCCCGCAACACGAAGGCCGCGCCTTTCTTTGGGGCGAGGCTTCCAAAACGCCCAGCCGAAAACTGGGCACCCCAGAGTTCTCTGCGAACACGCCGCCCGTCAATCTCGATAACATGGTTCCTGGTTTTGGATTTGGGCGGTGCCTTTGGCAAGGCGCAGATGCCAAGAGCAATCCCGGTTTCTGTACCACAAAGCTCATGAGGCTTTTGGAGGGACCGACCCCACGAGTGACGCCCATATATACACACACGCACATCCACAAATAGAATTAAAACGCACAAACACAAAAACATATATATATATATATTATATATATATATATATATGTAAATGGGCATATATATATATATATATATATACACATGTGTATATATTTACAAACACATCCCGCGGTTGTCTGAACCTCTTCCGACGCGCGTTCTCACATTGCATTGCTTCGAGCCTTGCCAGGTGCCTCCGGCGCCGTACCTGCAAGTGGAGGCAGCGGCGCAGGTGCACCGTTTGGGGCGGGGGGGGGGGTCGGGGGCGGGGGAGTTTTTTGTTTTTTGGAGGGGGGGGGGGCTGGTTTTGTTTTCCCCAACAGCTGAAAGCTGTGGGGTCTCAGCCCAGATAGGCTCCGGGGTGGTCCGGGAGGTAAGGTTCCACAAGGGTTTGACCAGGGTTCCACCAGGGTTCCACGAGGTTCCACGAGGTTCTGCGAGGGCTGCGGGGTGGTGCGAGCACTAAAAAGAGCACCGCATGCTGTTGGGGATATCACCTGAGCTTCTTTTTTTTGGGGGGGAGGGGGCACATGTTCGGGAATCTGTATGCTTTTGGAGGGGATAGGCGGTTTGCTTTTCCTTTTCCCTTTGTAGACCTGGTTGGACAATGTAGGGTAGTTTTTGGACCTTCAGACTGCTACTGGTCTATCTGATGGAAACATGGCTGGTTGTAGGATTCCTCTGCCAAACTTGTCCCACTGTAAGAGTGTAAGTTTGCAAGTAAGCGAACACTGTTGGAACAAACATGCGTATAAGCGCTCGGAGAGTGCTCCCCCTGGGTGACCAAAAGCCCGAGCGCAAGGATGGCGGGCGTGGCGGCCGCCCAGGGGAGGGTCGAAGTCCTGACCCGCGTGCGAGCGCGAAAGGCACAGCTGTGACTGCTCCTAGGCCAGACCTGGGACAAGCGAGCTGCAACAGCATTGCAAAAGAGTGCGATAAGGATGGCGCAGCGCGCGTAGAGCGCGCACGCAGTTGGAGAGTAGCAGCCGGTCTGCTTCGGTTTCCGGCTCAAAAAAGCAAGAGCGCCACCATGGCCTACACGCTTCCGCGCGAAGTGGCACATGTGCTGAGCCAGCGCGGCTTCTGCCGGGCCAAAGACAGCTCTGCGTTCGAGGAAGAGACGGGCCGGTTCCGTGGTTGGCGGCTTGGAAAATGAGCTGAAGAAGGCGCCTGGGCACTGTGCTGGCAGTGCCACTCGGCGGAGGCACAGCCCCTGCGCGCGCCGGACTTCCGCCAGACAAGGTGCAGCGTCGTGCCAAGCTGCAAGCACTGCAGAGGCAGGTACGCGGTGCCCTCGCTGGCGAGCATCCCGGACGCTGTCCGCGGCCTGACACGGGAGCAAGCCCACGCGCTCCGTGTCTTGACGCCGGACGCGGGGCCCATGCTGCGGCCACACCCGCAAGTGGTGCGCCGCCATGGGCAGATGATGCGCTTGCGGTGGGCGGAGCAGCCCGTGGCCTCTTTGAGCCAGGGCCAGGGCCGCCTTCGCCTGGCTGCAGGCGAACAATTTCCGGTACGGGAAGCAGCCGTAGAGAGCGGCAAAGGCGGCGAGGCGGTGGTGGGGGCGTTGCTGGAGCCCTACGTAGAGTGTCTTCTCTGGCCAGATTGGTACTACGCGGCAGACGTTTGCGACACCTCCTACGCTGGAAGCGAGGAGCATCACGACTCTGTCATGACAGGGGAGCAAGAGGACCATCTTGGAGAGCTGAGACCTCTCAAATGACCTCATGTTAGATTTTAAGGCTCGCAACATCTGGACCATGCCCTGAAGAAGTCATTTTAGTGGAGAGCAAAAGCTAAGGTTGGGGGGGGGGGGCGGTTCGGAGAGGCGGTGGTGAGGAGGGGGTTGCGAGTGGGAGATTTTTGACAAAAAAGGTGGTGGAACAAAAGGTTTCGCAGGGGAAAGTGGTTTTCAAAGTCGTTAGTTTACACATCACACACCCAAAACTGTTGGGTCCTTGGGCGCACCTCTGCAAATCTGTTGCATTTTCCATGTTTCCCTTTTGAGTAAAAACTGAGATTCTCCTCGCAAAGGGAGATTCCATTCTCGGCCGTTTGCTACTCACAAGTTGAGAAATTCACGCACGACTTTGCACGTATGCTGCGGTTCTCGCATGGGATTTCAACCAATGCAGAGTGGCCACGGTTCGGTTCGGTTCGGTTTCCAGAAACCTAACCTGTTTAATTACGGCTCGGTTCGGTTTCTCATCTGAAATCGGTTCGGTTTGGTTCGGTTACTCTGGTTTTTTTCGGTTCACGGCTCTTTGCACTGTGCCACTTCCAGCCGCACACCACACTCCCAGCCTCGGCGTGCCAGCCTCCTGTCTCTCATTAACACTTTCAGCACCACCTCCATCCCCAACTCCACTTTCACAGCCTCACCTCCAGCCTGCCTGCAGCCTCACCAGCCTCGCATCCAGCCTCACCTCCAGCCTCATCTCCAGCCTCACCTCCAGCCTGCCTGCAGCCTCACCTCCAGCTTCACCTCCAACCCGCACCTCCACCCTGCCTCCAACCTTGCCTCCAGCCCCTCCACCTCCCTGCTGCACCTCTCCCCTTCAACCTCACCAGCCTCACTTCCAGCCTTACAACCTTCACCTCCAGCCAGCCTGCTACTTGCAGCCCCTTCAGCCTCACCAGCATCCCCTCCAGCCTCACCTCCAGCCTCACCTCCAGCCTCACCAGCCTCACCTCCAGCTTCACCTCCAACCAGCCGTCTGCAGCGTCGCCAGCCTCACTTCCAGCCTCACCAGCCTCACCTCCAGCTTCATCTCCAGCCTCACTGATTACCTTTAGCCTGCCTCCAGCTTCACCAGCCTCACCTCGAGCCTTTCCAGCCCGACCCACTACTTCATCGCCACTGTTAGTTAGTAGTCATACGCCCGGCTTCACCTCCAGTCTCATCAGCTCAGTCCCGCCAGCAGATACCTTCCCCCAATATGTTGGCTGAGCAAGGGCCTCGAGGTCGCTTTTGGTGGGGTATCTTGTGGTGGCAATGCATCACAGCCTGCCCTGGGCTGCTGAAGTTTAGTTTTGTTTGGAAACCTGGCATATTGCTTTTTATTTGGGCCTACTCCAGAGGGACCACTTATATCTTTAGACCCTGTCCAGCTAAATGACTGGCTCTCTGGTCAGCATGGCTATGTAGTTACATTCTTGTCTGAGGAGCCTTGTCTGGCCATGCGGGGCTCAATGAAGTTGACGTTTCGGATCTAAACCTAACGATTCGGTTGTTTTCCTCTGGACGATTCGGTTCGGTTCGGCTTGTGAAAATATCGGTTCGCAGACGGTTCGGTTCGTACGGTTCGGTTCCACGGTTCTCGGCTCGATTCCTGGGATTCCTGCCAATGACAAACCAATGACAAGGCGGGGCCCCTTTGGAAGCTTGGTGGCATCTGAATGGTTCCCAAAATGCGGCCCCATGGTGGCTTCCTTCTAGTTTCCCTGCGCCTAAAAAGGGCTCTTGCTAAGCTCCCTAATCCTAAACTCACCTTCCAAAAGCTGGTTCAAATGACTTTTTCCTCCAAAATCCCTTGCGAAGCATCAAACACATACCAAGTGGCAAGTGCATGCAATGACATTCTTGACATTTCCCTTAGAGCCAGTGACTTGAGCACCAACAAACCCCTCTTCGTCCTTTTCTTGGTAGACCTAGATCTGGGGCAGGAGGGGCACCTGGCGCCGCTGCCCTCGGTGCAGTCGTCCGCCAAGGCCGGCCCCGGAGGGGGGGACTCGATGTTCGGCCAAGGCAGCCATGTGGGTATGGGTCCAAATTCGACCACCAGGGGACCGCAGGTTTTAGGTCCATGTTTCCATTTATTTGGGTTTCATTTTGGGTACTTATTTTTAAGACCCACAGCCATTCTTCTTTTGGTTTTTCCAAACGTTCTTTTCTCAACCAGCCCAAGGATGAAAAGCACACCCTTTCGGGAACATGGAAGACTATTCTGCGCCGCTGGACGAACCCAGGTCCTTAGTTTTGACCCCCGGGAGGTGCAAGCAGAAGGGCTGGGGGTTGGGGGTTGGGAGGAGAAACTTACAATAGCTTAGCTATGCACGTTATAACCTATGTTTCACCTAGTCGACGAAGGTGTCTCAACATGCTGAATCTCCACGATACGAAGTCCTAGAATAAGCAGATAGGGCCTGTGTGTGTGTCTCCACGGAGACAGTCTGGCAACTCAAATATGACTGGGGTTCATTTCAGCTCGTCTTTCCGGGTTTCTGCAAATGAGCCTTTGAGTGCTTAAGCAGCCGAGGTGCTGTTTCTGAAGGATGGGCGCTTCCTGCTCCACTCTCGGGATGCTGCTGGCTAAGCTGCGGGGAGACGGAAAAGACAGGGTGTCTGTAGGCCAGCTGAGGGGTCGCAGGTGGGAACATCCACCCCCCTACGTCCTTACTCATTTTGCTCTCGCTCTTGGATTGCTTCGCCGTACGAATATGCTGTGAGAATACATGTTGGTTTGGGGAGGACGAGAAGGGGTAGACAACCCCGGATTGCTTCCTCGCGTCGTGTTGGGGAAAGAAGTAATTCATGTCCAGGGCTCATGTGGAGACTTTGGCAACCACAAAAGCAAACACTTAGCCGCAAAAAATGGAACCACGCACCGAATATGCGTTAAAGACTTATTTGCTCTGGAATTCTTGTGCTCCATTCGATGTTTCCAAGCTAGGCTCTCCTTTCAGCTCCCCAAGATCGACGAGGGAGAGTAAGTGAAACACACAGTTGGACCCTCGCCTTGATTTCATTCAAAGCTTTCATAAGGGAAATCCAGGGGCCATGTTGCGGATCCGCTTTTTAAGCCAGTTGCTACCGGAGATGGCCAACTTGACGCGCAGCATTTGTCCACACCGACGTCCCCCAGTCTGCCGTTGACGTACGACCCCCGTTGGACACTGGTGAGCAAATGAGGCAAACAGAAGCCGTTTGGTCGTGTGGATATGTTGGGCCAACAGCCGCTTTGTTGCTTGCATTTCTTCGGGGGCCATTGCGCCTCTCCTTCTTTCCCTTGAAACCCGCGTTTTGCTCTCCGTTTTCGGGGTTGTCGACCCCTTTTCTTGCTCACGCCATAGGCCTTTCTCGCCTCTTCGCTGCATTCGCGGTTCGCGGATGCGCCCGAGTCGACCGAGGCGGCGTGGATGGCGAGGCGCTCGGAGGAGGACTATTTGTCCTCCGCCTGGCTGGTGGTGTCGAGCCAGCCGGAGGCCAAGGGAACGCGACCTGGCGATCCATGGCCTTGTGGAGCCTCGGTACGGGGCGCAATAGGCGCAACTGGGCCATTGGTTGAATTTAGACCCATCTTGAGTAGCACTACCAGCAGAGGACCCGGGGAAACAGGTGAAGCTTGTGGGGGATGCATGCAGGGAACCCTGTCATGAGCCGGGCGAAGCCCCTTTGACCCCCGGTTTTGACTGGCTTCCAGGGAGCGAAGCGGGAAATAGACAGCCACGTTGCTTTGGGCCGCCCACAACACAGTTGAGTGCTTCCCAACTTGGAACATGGACCCCTCGAACTGGTTTACCCTTTGGTTTCTCTTCACCAGCCGCGAGGAATTAATCCCAAGTCCGAGTTGGAGGAAACACCCGGTCGCCTGTGTGTCTTGTCTGGAACCCTTCAGCCCATTTTGCAAGGACACCCGCCCACAATGTCAAGACCAGGAGAACCATGTGTGCAAATATTTGAAATGACTAAGATGAAAGTAAGCATTGGGAGGGGTCCATAGTTTTGACCTATGCCCAGTTCTCTACGGGGAAGGGACAGAGCCAGGCCTTTTTCTCAGTGGGGAGATGGTGCCGTTGGATCCCGGAGAATGCAGGTCGTCGTTGCATGCTTGTTCAGCCTGACGAATGCCCCAAGATGTCCCGCGGCTCCTCATGGATTCCCATCAAGGTGGAGATCCCTTCCGCTCGCAGATTTTCAAAAGGCATTTGTGCCCACGGGAGTTTGAAAGCCTGTATCCAGGCCTGGTGGTTGGTGATCGATTTACTTGTTTAGTTGTTTGTAGCTTTGCCTTCCTAACCATTCTATAGGCTGGCTGTATGATTGCGTGTTGCTTTTGTATATACTAGGTTAGATTCAATGAATAGCGCGTCTTGTCTTCGTCCTCCGGTGTGCTAGAGTATATGAACATTCAACGGTCATTTGATATCTTGGGGGGGGAAGACAAATGCCGCCCTGTAACGTGTCCAACCGCCGATCTGTTGAAGGAAGCTGGAAAGCTGCGGGAGGGTACTTTGAAACAGGGTCCCAAAAAGAGATCTATGCTTGTGAGGCAAGTCTCTCGTGGGAGAGAAAGAAAATAACTGAGCCTCATGGACATGCTCATGCAGTCCAGTCGCCTCTTCTCTCGCTCGTAGCGCTCCATGCACGCATTGCATGCCGTTGTCCCCCAACGCTGTGAGCTTCGGTGGCGACTCAACAGGCTTTGGTGCGATGCATGTGGCTATGGGTCAAGACCCCGTACCCCGAGTGAACATCCCAATCCCCACTAGAATAGACTAAATTGGGTGGTGCACCTACCCCAAAATGGTGCAGCCATTAGATCAGTGATTGCGGACCACATATCCATAGATGACATAAACGACCACGCATCCAGCCCATGGCCAGGCGAGCAACTCCAGCCAACCATGAGCGATAAGGGCCACATTCAAATGGTTGGTGGCTACAACTCATATCACAGATGATCCTTTTGCTCACTTTCGGGGGACATGCTGAGACTTTCCGTTTCGGAGTTTGAGTGCCAAAAACATCATCCTTGATCTTTTCGCTCCCAGACGCGCCGATGTTTTTTTTCTTCTCCGCTCACTTCGGACATGATCTTTTGGCTCTAAGACACGGCGAGGTTTTTTTCTCCGCTCATTTAAAGGAGAGAGAGACCATCCCTAGCACTGAAGCCGCTGAGGTTCGGCACCGTGCAGCTCAAGGCCCTGGACGGGCACTCGGCACGTGGCAGCCCGGGGGCCCTTCGAGCGGGCTGGGGGTGGGGGGGCGGGTGGGGGGTTGGGGTGGGTGTGGGTGGGGTGGGTGTGGGTGGGGTGGGTGTGTGGGTGGGTGTGGGTGGGGGTTTGGGGGCCGAAGACGCTGGATGGCACCTTTGTAGGGATATGGTAGGTCCTCAGTTTGGGGAGGAGGTCCTTACTTACATGACCTGGTTGGGGCACTTAAAGCATCGTCTTTTGGCTGCCATCTTGACGAGATGTTTCTGTTGGTAGGATCATGTTCAAGGGAGATGTATATGAGGAACTAGGATACCCCACTATGCATTCTGAGTTCTGGGTTCCAATTCTTGGAGATTGTTGCCATTCTGTGCGAAGTTGGGGAGTATGACCAATGACTGTCCCATGTGGCTTTGCCACAGGCCTGTTAAACTAAGTTGTCGCCATCGCAGCTGTTTTGCAGGTTGCTAATAATGCGCTCGTTGTTAGGAAATATCGAAGCCGAGTTCAGCTTGAGCGCTTTTCTGGATCATTAATGATGATGATGATGATGATGATGATGATGATGAGGAGGAGGAGGAGGAGGAGGAGGGCGCTTCGGTTGTCTCTTGGATAAGCATGTTTTGCCGTCGAGGAGATTCTTGGATGCAACTTTGAGACAAGGTACGCAGTAGCGAGACACATTGACCGCGCTGTTGTCAGCCCACCCGCATTCCCGAAATACGATTCAGAGTGCATGCCTTCCAGTCCTTCGCGTGGAGCCTGTTGATCTTCTCGGACTCTTGGGATTCCCTGACCAGTATTTACCGGGCTTGCAGTGTAGGCTGCCCATTCTGGCTCAGCGGATCTGAGAGGATCAGATGGCTGTGCTTTCTGTTTGGGCTCCGGGAGCCCTCCTAACCTGGGGTTCCTGGATCACAGTTTTCTTTTCACAGGGGGGTGGGTTTCGAGGCTGGCTGAGCTGCCACTTCAAGCTGTCCAGCAGCATGAGCGAGGCAGGCCCCCCGCCCAGGGTCGTTCTTGAGAGGGAAGCGGAGACCTGCAGACCACCTTTGAGAGACGAACTCTTCTTTTTGAACTGACAGGTTGGCGGGTAGGAAGGTCTAGGAGACAGTCTCAGCGAAACCATAGGTGGCCTGCCACCCGTTTGATTCTACAGTTTGGGCAGACCTGTTCACTCCCCATGTGCAATTCTCAAGTTATACTTACTGTACTGGGAAACTGAGGTTAGTTTCCTTAAAACCATCCATGGTGTTAGCCGTCTTGGGGATTGAACATCCAGGTATGCCCCTTAACGCTTCTTGCAGCCCTATTTGAGGGCGTCTAGTGCTGGTCTTGGCTGAAGCCCAAATTGGGCATTCTTGTAGAACACAAGTTTGGGCCAAACCCAAATAAATCTATGGTCTGCAATAGCAGCTGTCTATTTTTTGGAGACATAAACGTGGCACCCATGAAACAGACCCATCATACGGTTGCTTCCTTCACGTTTTTGGATATTGCAGATCGAACGGGGTGCCCAAGCGTGAGTGGGGACCGAATGAGTGACTTTCAACAGGGCAGCTTGCGAAGATCGTCGGGTTGTACGAACACCCACGTTTTGTCAACTGACTACCCCCCCCCCCGGGTCACTCGAGGCAATCTTTGACAGTTTGCAGCGAGGGTCGGGAAGCATGCTCTCGGTGAATCGAAAGGCATGCATCCAAGCACAGGTGTCGCCTTGCTCGTGTGCAAGAAAGACTTGCATGCCGTTGTTCATTTCATCGATGGTTTGTCCTTGTGAAACTTGGACAACTCGTGGTCCATCCGAAAGAGGAATCAACTATGCTGGTAGGGGTCCGGTGCATTTTCTTTTCCAACGAGGCGAGGTGTTCACGGACATGTTAGGCGGAGCTCCCTAAGCGAAGCCGATGGATCCGTTTTACCTCTTCCGCCGTCGGCCGCTAGTGCGGCTGACGGACACCGTTGCATGGAGCCGTGGTGTCCTCTGGGGTCGAGAAGAATCACCTCGCTCTAAAATTGGAATCCGCTGCTGGAGTCCATGTGGGTCTGAGTCAAAATTAAACCAGGGGACCACAGGTTTTAGTCGTCCTTTCCATTTACCAGGGTTCCACTTGTGGTAGTTTTCGCCCCACAGCCATGTTGATGCTTGGGCTCTAAACAATGGGGTCTCCAGCTCGTGTTTCGCGGGGAGGGCCTCGCCTCTACGCTGGGACGGCCTCGCCTCGCGCCAGGCGTGCAGCTTCTGGATGACGCCGAAGGACTTCGAGAGCTGGGCACAGGCCGCCGCCGGGGCACCGGGGGCAGCCGCCGGGGCAGGGGACATCCGCCGACCCGGGGACCCGACCAAGTGGCGGTGTTCCAGACGGTCTTCCTTTAGCAAACAAAAGGGCCCCCTCACAAAGACACAGATGAAGATTTGGGTTTGGCTTTGGAGGGTCAGCTGATCAAAGATCAACTTGCCTGCCAAAAACTGAGGCATCCAGCTGACGGGCGGGTTTTGGAAGCCTTCCATCAGTTTAAAACAGGTCTTCTGTGTTTGGAGTTGAGAGACTACAGTTTGTGTGGCATGAACGACACCTTTCCCAAGCAAGCAATTCCTCACCCTCAGATCTTCCCTCAAACCTCATACACTGGACACGTCTTCTCATTGCGTGCGCGTCATAAGTCGAACCTGCCAGAATTGGGGTGATGTCCGCCCGGCCGTATGCATGTTCGGTGACACAGCAAGCCTTCTGTAACCCGCCTTTGGGATCTTGGCAACCTCAGCTTCAAAGCCGGTGTGGGCTGTACTCTTTGTCCAACGACATCGGATGACTTTTGTGGTCCTTCTGAGGGGCCCGTGTTAAAAGGGGGCCCAATACACCTGGGGTCATTCCACGTCTGCCCTTTTGGCTCCTTTCGGTGCTCAGCAGGGAATGTCGGGTGTTGGCAATGCACCAATTTGGTCATTTCACGTCTCATTCCCCTATGGAAGCAGCAAGTTGGGGAGTTTCTGCGGCTGGTGAGCGAGCGCGCGATTCGCGACTCCCACGCGCGCGATCTCGAGGATGGTGACCACCAGGAGTTCATTCTCAGGGGCAGCAGCTGGGCTCAGCACAGGGGAGCAGCCGGGTGCCGGAAGAGATCATCTTGAAAAGGCCTCTTTTGTCCACTTCCAGGATCGGGAAAAGGAGAGCTTAATGGGAAAGTGGATGGTCTCCACCCCCGGAAGAAAAAGGTGTTGGTTCATAGGAGTGGCAAACTGGGAGCAAGGACTGTGGAGTCCTTCGAGGGTTTGGAGTTTGAAGTGAGTAACTCGTGCGGAGAGGATCGTTTCTAGATCCACCAGGCTTGCCCTTGCCTCGCTTAAAGGGCAAGTCAAACATGGTGAAGTCACGGTTTCGGGGGAACGACTCAACACGTGGGTATGACTTGTTTTCCGAGGGCCTCCTTTTCAGATTGGTTTAAACGAAAGCGAAAGGACAAACGCGAAACATTAGGGAGTCTCCCTATTTGGCTCCTGATTGCAGGTTGGTGAAGTCTTAGAATTTACCGAGAGGCGGGTGAGCGCGAGTTCGGCCATGAAGGTGCCTTAGAGATTCCTTATTTTAGATGGGCGAGGCATCCGAAATACTGCAGATCCATGTTACGAAGCAAGAACACAAATCGACAAAACACAGCACTGTCCTGCTGGACCTTGCTGATAGTTTGAGAAGCCAGCAAAGGTTGGAGGAGAATGGCCGGCGCTCTGGATTGGGTATGTCACAAAATAAGCTGGACCCCTTCGCTCTAAGAACGGACAGCCACAGAAGTCACCAATTCTTGGGGCGAGCTCCTTTTCGAACGGCCTCGTCTGACACTGTGGCAGCCATTCCTCTGGACTGTGCCAGTACTCAGAGCAAGTGGGTGTGCAGATTGTTCAAAAAGGGACACCAAAGGAAAATCATTTGGAGACAAACCCAAAGTACGAGGCACGGTTCTGACGGGTCAAGCTACAAAAGGCGTCTAGTCCCAAGCACACGGTGACAAGGGGCGTTTCCGCCGATCAAGGGATCCCATAGCAAAAGGAAACAAACTGTCGCCCTGAGCGATCAACATGTGGACCCTTTGGCAGGGGCCGGGCCCCAGTTGCTTCGCCCCCTATGGGCCCATTCTTGGGGGGTCCGTTGAGACAAACTGACGCTTAGGATGAATTCTCCCCAGATAGACGGGACGAATCGTGGAGTTCCCTGTTAATTTGCAGGGGAGTAATGAAGCTCGTTCACATTGGGGGCGGTGTCACAAATGAGCATGGTCGTGGCAGATCTCCGTTCTGTGATACCAGAGTTGGCCAGCCCCACCATGTCATCACTTCAACAGAGCATCTCGGCAAAGCCTCGTCAACGGTGCGTGTTTTTTTTTTTTTTTTTTGGGGGGGGGGGCGGGGTTTCCAGTAAAGCCAAGCCCACAACATCAGACTTCTCCTTGTTTCCCCTACCTTCTGAGGCCAGAGCGGCGCCAACAGCTCCGTGGCGGTGCGAAGCTCCCGCCGGGGACTCCCAGCAACTGTCAGGGCGATCTTCGTCCAGGCCTCCCCTTGTTTTGACACATGGGTTTGTCTGGGGGGGAACCACCAACCAGTCGTGCATGTGTTCCCCAGAGTGGTGCCAGTTGCGTTCCGGAAGTCGACGGCTGTTGCCAGCTTTAGGAACAGAGTTGAGCTCCCCTTGTGTCAGGATTCTCGCGCAACAGGGACCTTACCCGCCCAGAAGGGGCCCCTCCCGCGTCTCGATACAATAAACCGGCCGTACTCGAGCCCCCACAAAAAATGTTGGGTTCCCCATTGTGGGCCATGGGGCATTTTGTTTTTTTGTGTTTGTTTTTTTCTTTTTGAAGTTTGGGGGTGTCCCATCCCCAATCCCCAAATGGCTCTGGGTCAAAACCAATGGTACCTTTTTGGGGTAGGTGCACCACCGATTTTAGTCTATTTTAGTGGGGATTGGGATGTTCACTGGGGGTACAATTTGGATTCTGACCCATGGCTAAATGAATCAAAGTGGATGCCTCGTGCCGTCCGAGACCTGGAGTGGGACAAGGAGCCCACCAGCTTCTTCGTGGCGGATTGGGTGCCCGAGGTGCGGAGTTTTTCACGCAACACGCGTCGAAGGGGTTGGCTGCATTGCTGCAAACAAAAACCAACTTACGGCCTTTAAGCAAAGCCCAAGAAAGGGAAATGGGCTTGGCCCATATTTTTCAGAAGGGGCGATACATTTGAAAGAAGTGCCCGAACTTGTTCCAAGCGACAACCAGTGAGACATGTCCAAGAGGTATCAAGTTGCACTGCACAGCTGCAATCTTTTGGGCAAACGTGGCAATGTGACAGCCTCGGCCAGCTTCAAACCAAGTAGGAAAAACGTGGACACAGAGGGCGACAGGCCAAGTGAAGCACGCAGGAGTTGCACCTCTTCACCAATGGGGTGTAGCCTCCCAGAAACAAAGCTGGTACCCGAAGCAGCTTCCCTAGGCCGAACCATACAAGCATAGGCTTAACGGTTCTTGGAGGCATGAGAGCAGCATACAGGCAGTGAACCACAAACCGGGGCTGCCGGGCCGTCTCGTTTGGAGGCCCCCCCTCCAACACAGGAAGGTTTTGTCGGGTTCTTCCCAACCACTAGACGGGCAGCTATCAACCATAACCACCCACAGTGCCTCGAGAATTTTCCAGCGATCTCCCCAGACATCGCACTTTCAAAGAAGGACCTACCCGCAACCTTCTTAGACAGGGTTGCTCCGAGCCTCAACATGACCAAGCAGAGCTTTCCTGTACCAGCTGCCAGGCAATTTTGGAAACCCTAGAGTTTCCCAGCTGTAGACCTGGGATGTGGGTCCACTAGATTGACAAACAAGCCCTCAACCTTTCCCCTTGGTTTGAAGGGACAATTACCCCCCCTTGCCCCCAAGAGTACCCTTGAGAACCCCAAAACTACCCTGCAAAAGTAAAAGTTAGTTTTACGAACCCCTCAAAACGTTCCAAGGAACCGCGTTGCACCGGGCGCCTGGATGGCCGCCTTGTCGCTCCCCGCCAGTCCTGCGCTCTGCGGCCCATGCCGGCCACGGCGGCACGCTACGACGCGCAGAAGGAGGCAAGGCGCCTGCTATTGGAGAATTTTCTGGGTTCACTTCCAACAGGTCTTGCAACCCAAGTAGGTACAAGTCACTATGGGCAAAAGTGTAGCCGTAGGTGTGCACTTGACTCAACTCAGAGTAAGGGTCCAGTTGGGAAAACTTTTCTCCCCTATCCTCTCTAAAGCCATGTACTCTCCGGCCTTTGCGGGTGCTACCGTTGCAGAGGCGAAGGCAAAGGCAAGGGCCTCAATGGAGAAGTACCTTGTGAGCCTTGCGCAGAGGGAGGAAGCTGGTCTGTGTTGGCGGATGAGAGCAGGCTTTCTTCTCCAGTGCAGATGAATTGGAGCAGGGCCCCCTCATCCCCGCGAAGCGCAAGGCGGAGGACGAGCCGATGGACGGGGTGGCGCAGGTGCGACACGCCCCCCTGAATCGTTCTTGGAGCTGCTGAGTAGGAAGATCTTGGACTCTGACGAAGAGGAGGTGGCCATTCCCAATTCCCCTTTGGCACGACCATGATGCTTCCTCACCCATGATGCCAGGAGGGCATGTGGTGAGGTGGGAGGATCCCTCGCTGATGGGGGGGCATCAAATCGACGCCCATCAGCTGCTGAGGGGAGAAGCCCAGTGGAACTGGGACAATTTTCCCAATTTGGCACAAACCACTTTCACGCGAAAAAGGAGTTTTTTCGTTTGAGCTGTGGAATCTACTAGTAGCGCCGATGTGGCGCTTTGATGAGTTAAGGTCGCGTTTTGCCCCCCCCCCCCCCCCCAGGATCGAAGAAAGAGGTGCTTTGCCTCGCCTTCGGATTGGCCAGCGCTTTGACTTGTGGGTTTGGGTATTTCGTTTTCCTTTGTAGCTTCTCCTAAACATGGCTCAAAAGATTGGAGTCGTGGGGCCACGCTGCAATGCTTTTGCAACGCGAGGAGCTCACTCTGAGTTCATTGGGCCATTTTGGTGGTAAATCAACAGCTTGGTTACTTTTTGGGGACAATCCACTTGTTCTGAAGTGGGGGAGGGACTTTTCAGTGGAAGTTCTCAAGTCACCGAAGATTGACGCACTGGGAAACGGGGGAGATTGCAGGTCACCGTCACGATGACCACGCGCTTGCACAACTATGCACGGAACATCAAGTTCCGGCAGGCGATTAGGGGGCGATTGGGGAAATCCTTTGTGGCACGGGTGGGGTGAAATGGAGCTGCCAGAGTGTTCCGTGCGCATCGATAACAAGGGAGAGGGTCAGCAGAGAGGAGTTGACTCAGCATCGAGCTTGTCAGGAGGCAACTCAGGCAATATGTTGGCTTTGTCCCTCAGGAGAATTCTATGAATGCAAGCTTATACGCATCAATAACAATATCTTCCAAGGAATGAGGAGGTTGCGGGTGAGAGGAGGTGAGGGACAACTGGCCGCGAGTGAACTCCAAAAGAGCCATTCCACCTTCGTTGCGGCCTTTTTCTTGAAAGGACTCAAACAGTGCGAAGATTTGGTCACCTTTGCTTTCAGAAGATCCCCACAGGCACCAGATCCGCAGGATGGGACATTTTGGGAGAGGTCCCATAAAGAAAGTGCCCGTGGAAGCAGTGCCGCCAGAAGTTCAGGCAGAAACACTCTGAACTCACGGATTTCAGGCTCAGAGATCAACCCTGAGACCATTTCGAGGCTCTCCGTAGAGAAAGGTGACGAATCTCGGCTTGCGGCCCCAGCGTTTCGAGCCCGAAAGGTAACTCGTGGTTGACTTTTCGTGTTCCCATATTATATTTCTGCGTCAACACCGCGGAGGGCTGTGGATTCAGCCAGGCGTTTAGCTCGGCGCTGGCGCATTTGAAGGCGAGCCAATGTGGGGGGGACATTGGACGGACCCGAGTTTTGCCATGCCAATTTGCGGTCGTTGAGCAGCGACCCGGTACCCCTACTCACGGAGACAGCAACCAGAGCCTGTCCATTAAATCGACCAACCAGATGTGTCCAGGGGAGGCTAAGGGTGCCTTGCGGCACCATTCATTTTACTTCCCAGAGAATCAAAATCGCCACGAGAATGGTCAGCCAGACCATCTGAGAGGCAAGTGCATGACGACAGGAAGCTGGGGAACACATGAGCCGTCTAGGAGGCAGTCTCTTTCAGCCAGTCTCCTTGGGGATGCTAAGCTTTTTCTTCGTCTTTTCTCCGCATGTAAATCGAGCCCACTTGAACCCAAGACCACTGGAATTCATGGCCTACTCATCCTATTGATCAAATCCCATGGTTCAATTTGTGGTTCATCATGGGGAATGTTGGCATAACTCTTAATGTTGAACTTGGGGAACCAAATCTGAGTTTCTTGCAGGCAGATCTCTCTGGTTGGCGGACATGATTTGCATGGGGATTTATCTCCACTCCAACCCAGTCGGGTGTAAGTTCATGGCCAGCTCAAGGGGCCTTTCGGAAATGCTCGGGAGCCCTTTCCAGAAACTCGGGCCAAGCGTTTGCAACTGCCGCGTACCCAGCTTTGGGGCTGTGGACGTTGCCTGTTTTGTTTTTGGGGAAATGGGGGGATTCGAGCTTCCGGAGCTTCCCTTGCCCCCAGCAGGTTTGGTCCAGAGTCCTTGACAGAATATTCTTCCGAACGCCGAGCCAGGAGGGGGATTTCTATGTCCGGGAGTATTTGGTTGTGGACGAGTGGTTTCAGGGCAGGCGCAAGCGGACTTTCTCCGCCAATCTCCTTGCGGGTCTTGCAGCCTTGTCGAGGCTAGGAGTCTCTTGAAATGGTTTTTGGGTTTTGCCACGCATGCGACTTCTGATTCGTGATCAATGCATAGCCAAGTCTGGCGAGCGGGCGTAAGGAGCACATTCAACAGGCGCACTGCAGCTCACCAGGGAGGGTCGGGAGGGAGCTCGTTGCATTGTTTCCGAGTTGTTCCAGGCAGGTTCCCGGGGGGTTGCTGCGTATTCTTCGAGCCAACTCCAAGACCTGGGCCTTCCGAAGGCGAAGCCTTGGGCGTCGCCGGGCTTTGGCGTCGCTCGCACAGGTCTCTGGCCATGAACGGCACCCTGGCTGGGCTGGGGAGCCCAGCGAGAGCCAAAACGGTGGATGCCAAAAGGAGATTGGCTTGGTCTCAAAATAGGCAAAACCCCAAATGGGTGGTTTCCTTTTGGTTTCCCTTTAAACCAACCCGAAAAGGGTACTCTCAAAGAGAGACAAGCTCATTTGGTGTGGACAGTCTTCCTTCCATGGTTTGTGTTGTGCTGCGCCTGAATTTCTCAGGCAGCAGGCTGGAGAGCTTGTCCAAATCCATCTGCTTCGGGTAAGCAACGGCTTCGACATGAGCCAGCAGTCTTTGGCACCACGGGACCAGACGTTGGCGCTAAAACGATGCCTGCATGGCTGGGCTCATTTGCCAATCTTCTAGCTTGCGCGTGGGGCCTGGGTTTAAGGAACAACCAGACGCCGACTTGGAGAGTGAGGCAATGGCCCTTCATCCGCAAGGTCTGGTGGTTGAGGCCGTTTTTGCCTCCAAGCCTTTACACCTTTGGCGCCTTTTGAGGTAGCCCCAAAGCTCCGGAAAGATCGGAGCCTTTGGCCTTTGTGTCGCTCCTGTCTGGAGTAAAGACCGCGGTATGAAATTGTTTTGAACGTGGAAATTTTTGGTGAATATCATCCAAGCATGGTTGGTTTTATGCCCGCCCATGTTCGAGTAATCTTTGATGGCTATATCACAACCAGCAAAAATGAGGGACGCCTATTGGGGTCCAAACAAAACAAAGAGTTCCCAGCGTTCCAAAAAACCGAACCTGGGCGTCGATCCGACGAACAGAATCCCTGGGGCCGATGCCGAAAGGCCCACGGTGCGGGAGTCTCGCCACGAGATGCTGAGCTTCTTCCCTGGCTGCCGGGGCCTCAGGCCAAGTGGTTTTATCCCCCTTTTTGCAACTGGGATGAAGCCTGGGCCAGTTCAAGGGTAAGTTCCCGGAAACCTGAAAATGAGGAGTTTGAGAAGAGATTCGCCAAGTTAGAACCACACCTCCAGGACCCTTGAGCGCTTCTCAGCTCGCAAAACTGAGGTCGGTTTGCTCGGAAACACATGAAACTTGTTTACTAGTAGATGCCACTCCTTTTAGGCGGCCTTGCGTTTTGGCTACCACGTTACTTTGCAGGCCCCGCAATCTGTGAGAGAGTTCGCGATATTGCGGGTTTGCTCCACGGTTGAAGCTTTTCAGAATTGCACGGGGCCAAGGTATTCCTTTTTTGACATTTTGTGACCATCATGATTATATTGCTCTTCTTTTTGTCCAAAGAATCTCACCCACAATTCGTGGTACTGCTTGCAGACCTTGTCAGTGAGGCCACGTGGGCAACAGACACAGACAGACACATTTCTCTCTGTCCATTCATTTTACAAGGACACCCAAATTGGTTTCCACCGCCAGGTGACCTTTAGGTCGCGGGAGCTGGGTCCAAGATTTCAGATTTAAGCCATTGAAGTATCACGTTTTGGTTGCCGATTGAGTTCTCTTCCAGGCTGATAAGGGGCATGTTTGTTCTGAGGGCACACGCTTTGAGGGTGGCTTTAGAGGGAAACCCAGAGAAGCTAGCTCATTTGAACAATTTTGGGTTCCCTCATTTAGAGACACACCAAAACGCGTTGTCTCTAGTCGAGGACGCACCCGAATGGGGGTCCGGACTCTCTTTGGTTTCCCTCTAAGCCACCCCCGGAAAAGATACTTACGTTGCGGCCACTCGGTCCACCCGCAGACGAAGACGAATTCCGAAGACACCTTCGCCCAAGGCTCTCAGAAACAAAGAGGAACCGCGAGGACAAATTCCCACGGCCGAATTCCACCCCGCAGCCGAATTCCACCCCGAAGACGCATTGCGAAGACGAATTCCCAAAGATGAATTCCGAATTTCCCACCCGAAGCCAAATTCCTCCCGAAGACGATTTGCGAAGGCGTTTTCTCGAAGATGAAGTTCCCCCCGAAGACGAATTGCGAAGACATATTCCTGAAGACGAAGCCCTCCCCAAAGCCGAATTTTCCTCCGAAGCACGAGCCGCGACTCATCCTAGTTGGCGCCGTGTTGTTTGGCGGCATCCTTTTCGTGTTTCTTCCGAGAAATCAATCCATGGACACCTCTACAACTGCGTGGCGCAATCCTGCCCGCAGGAAAACGGTCGTGCTGGCTTGCGTGACACTGCTCAAAGGCTGTCTGCAATACGTTGTTTTGGCGAGGGTTCTTTCATATGAGTCGACTGCAAAATTTCCCTCATTTACTTTATGTAGGAGTGTTTCATGCACATGTCGTTTTTTGTTTTTTCTCGAACGACGACACGGGACGCCCCAAGAAAACGATACCCCAAAACCTGAGAGAAAAAGCCGGGAAAACGACACGGGACGTCCTAACGTCGGAATGAAAAATTCCCAGGCAAGCAATTCTGACGCTGACTCATATGAGCAATGGCAGATATATCTCCATGCCGTGTGTCTGCGCTACGCATGCTTTGCATGTACGCGCATGCTGTTTCCCGGTCATTGTTTGCGCCGCCCTCTCGAAACCATGCGGCTAGATTTGTTTCTGATGGCGCTGGGCCCGTTGCCATTCATTCGGCAAAGAAGGCATCGCGTAAACAATGCGCCTGCAGCCCCGCCCAGTAGGCCGCCAAGTGAGAGGTCAAGTGTTCCCCCCTTGTGTAACCTTTCCTGAACAAAAAGATAAGAACAAAGGGCCCAAAACTAGGGGCGCTCAGCAGGCACTGGTAGAATGTGGCCTGCGTCCTCAGCCGGGAATGCGGCGCCAGGGGAGAATGGCGTCAGAATGCGGTGTTAGAATGCGGCGTCAGCAGGCGGCATCAAGGAATTCGGTGTTGCAGGTTTCCGAAATTGCGGCGTCACGGGATGCGGCGTAGAATGCAACCTCAGTGTCTCAGTCAGGTGGAAAAGTAGGCGACCGTTTGGAGACACTTACGCATATATATATATATATATGTATATGTATATACACATATGTACATATTGTTCGCCCCCGCGACACCGGAAAAACAGAATAGCGGAAAACAGCGAAGGAACTGCAGAACACCAGAAACAGCCAGAAGCAGGACCCTAAACTAGAAGACCCAGAAACACCTCACAAAACCAGACAAAAAGGGTCCTGCAGAGGAGGCGTTGCCACTTCCAGCATCTGTCTCATAGACCCTGGTTTTTTGTTGTTGTTTCTTTCTGGCTGGTCTGGTTTAGGCCCCTTTTTCTGGAGGACCCGGTTTCTTGGGTTTCGTGATTTTCTGGCTTTTCTGGAGAAGGCAATCCACAAGCATCCTGCCACAGGGAAAACGGCCGGAGATGCCCCTTGACCCCTCGCAGATGTTAAATAGAGTCTAGGTACGGAAAGCCACATTGGTTGTTGGTTCTAGTCAATCTAGTTAGAACTCATGTTTTGAAGTAGATTTTAAATACGACTACCGTTTTCAAGTAGGTCTCAGTTTTTCTTATTAGACATGAAATAGGATCTAGCGAGGGGAACTCTTCTTTCCGAAAAGGAGCGAACAACCGAGAGACACGCAAGGAACTCGCAACTTCAGTTCTACTTGCTGGCAAGTTTGAGATTGCAAGGCTTTAGACTTTAATTGGAACTCTGATTTTGAATGAATTATATAGTTAGCGTTTAGATAGGAGTTTCGTTCTAGACATGACATCAATCAGAAGTGAAATTGAATTCGTAGTTTGAATTAGATGTTGGCTGGACGTTCCTTTCCAACTAGGGTTTTGAATTAGAATTTAAGTAGAATTTGGCAGAGAAGGACACGCCTTTCTCAAGGACATATTTGACCACTATGTCAAAGGAATCTGCAGGATTTGTGGGTCCCGGGAGGGGGGGGGAAGCATTCACATATATATATATATATATACATGCCGCCATTAAAACTCGGACCTCCGGTCCCAGACTTTTTGGAGGGGTTCCCCTCAAACTCAACCCCGCACAACCCTTTGCTTTCCCATGGTCGTGGTTCAGTGCACCAATTTGAGGCATTGGCGCCAGCACCGTCGAAGCCGGGGTCCTGTGGAGCCGCGTGTGGTCACAGGTTTGTTCACGGTGCCCTCCATTTGGAATAGGTAGGTCTAGACACCTGTCTTTTCTTGGCTGGCATGAGGACCCGTCTGACCCCGAATTGGTGCAAAGCAAATGGGGCTTGACCTCCGGTTTGGGGAAGCAACCAGTAATATGTATGCTCCGTGAATGGCGCGTGCCCATGGCAAGAATCGGCTTCTCAACCTCGCCAGGGTATGGATTACTTTGTGGCGATCGCATTGTGTCATTTGTGGGCGCATGGTTTCATTTGTTGTGGGTTTGAGTTTTTTTTGCTCAACTCCGCAGCGCTTCCTGCCCATTGGCGGACCACACCAAACCAACAGGTGCCAATAAGAAGAGTCGCATGAGCCGAACTGTGCGGCACTTTATGGGGTGTTGCTCTCTGGTTTAGTGGGGGGTTTGTATCGAGGGGTGTTCCTTGGTGTCGAGTGGGGTATGGGATGCCAATTTCTGTGCCGCTTTCAGATTTACCCATGGTTCGCGCATTTTCCAGCCATTCGACACCGCCCTGTGATTCTGAGGCCAGCAAAAGGCGGGGGGTTGCGGTGGGACGAGGTATGCTTTCTGCCGAGCTGCTTGCAGCTGAAGCAAAACGAGGGGAGGCACAGCTTGGCTCGTTCATGAGACTGTGAAGGTCGTTAGACGTTTTGTCCGCCTTTTTTCAAGCATCAGCAGCAGCAGCAGCATCATGGTGGTCATGTCTTCCATACTTGGTCATAAGATAAGAATGAACAGAGTTAATTCACCGTGTGCATCTATCTTTGTTAGTAAGTAGGAATACATGCTTCTTTGTCTTTCACAATCAAGCCTTATTGCCCTTGTTATGTATGTCTATGTTCCTGTCAATATGATGATGCTTTCATAACTCATGTTCAAACATGTTCCTCATGATACTGCTGCTGCTGCTGCTGCTGATGATGATGATGATGATGAAGATTGATGATGATGATGATGATGATGATGATGATGATGATGATGATGATGATGATGATGGTGATGACGATGATGATGACGATGATGATGGTGATGGTGATGATGATGATGATGATGATGATGATGATGATGATGATGATGATGATGATGATGATGATGATGATGATGATGATGATATGATGGGTGATGATGATGATGATGATGATGATGATGATGATGATGATGATGATGATGATGATGATGATGATGATGATGATGATGATGATGATGATGATGATGATGATGATGATTATGATCATTATGATCATTATGATGATGATGATGGTGATGATGAGGATGACGAGGAGGATGACGAGGAGGATGACGAGGAGGAGGAGGATGAGGATGAGGATGAGGATGATTAGGTGATGATGAGGTGATGATGATAGTGGTGACGGTGGGTGGGGATGGTGGTGATGCTGGTGATTGTGCTGTGGTGGTGGTGATGGTGGTGACAATGCTGGTGATGCTGATGATGCTGGTGATGATGGTGACGATGGTGACGATGGTGCTGAATGTGGATGATGAGTCAATTAAAAACAAGCCTGGCGCAGGATGACAAAGATGGATTGCTGTACACAACTAGCAACCATTAGATGACACCACTTTCAAAAAAGTACATCATGCGAATCAGAATAATCATAGTAATAATAATAGTAATAATAATAGTAATAATAATAGTAATAATAATAGTAATAATGATAATCTAATTGTTGTATTTCGGGTGGTAAGGATGTTTGATTATGTAAGAGGATCAATATGAATGATGGCACTGTAAGTAAAACAAGACACGGCCTTTGAAACAAATAAAGCCCAGTGTTTTCTTTTTTTGCGGGCGGGCACGCCTGCAGATCAGCAACCCAATCCCAAGGCTCTTTTTACCCGGCCCAAGCTTTGCAGCTGGCCCCAGTTTCCTGTCCCTCTCGAACATTTTCCGCAGGCCGGCGGGGCAACGCTGCACCTTCGTTTTCAAGTCCGCGGAGGAGCAGGGGAAGGCGAGTGGCGCAGTGCGAAGCGCGCGGGCCGGAGGTTCTCTCGGTGCTGCTTGACGCTGGGGAGATTTGCCCCTTCGGAAGGTGTCTGACTGTGGACCTTTGGCTGGTTCATTTCCAGCGTGGCTAATCAGAAGACCTGGTCGCTTGCACGGAGCGGGAGAAACGCAGGGGTGCCTCATTTTGAGGGGGGTTTTGATGTTTTTTCCTTGCTTGGACCCTGCTCTTCCGCACCCAAAAACAGATCAGGCACCCCGCAAAGGAAAACCGGCTAGACCGTAGCTGTTTCTTTGGAAGTGGAGGCGGGGATGTTCAATTTTGCTCCAGGCTTCCCATGATTCACGCAGAGACGCGCAACAACACGTTTGGAGCTCCTCCTTTTTTTCCTTTTCTCCCCACTCAGGTGCTCTTAGTTTGGGGTTTGGAACAAGAAAAGGACCGGAACGCGGGCCGTGTTTTCGTGGCGTTGCATCATGCAACGCTGTGCCTGGAAGAGCTCCGTTGCTGAAAAATCTGTTTGGGGAGACCGAAAGCGGTGTTCGGGAAGCTTTCGGTGCAGCTGAAACAAAAGGCTCCGGAAATTGTAAGAGGATCATTTCTTATGTTAACCATCGCTTATGGGTGCGTCTCAAGACGGGTGACCCTGCAAAACGTGCAACTACTTTGTCACTACTTCACTGGTCTCCCTGAAAAAACAGACCCAACTCCACTGCGCTGTAAGCATGAGAAGACATGCAGCCACAATTCTGATCCGAGTGCCCCCACTCCGAGTGCAGGCGCGGTCCTTGAACATCCTGCTGGACCTTATGGCGGGCACCTGAGCTTGGAGTTTGACGGCTGAGTGAAGACGATGTCTTGGGTTATGTCTCAAACCTGAAGCCCCCGAAGAGCGAGAAAGGTCCTGCTTTTTTTTGGTGTCATTTGAAAAGCAACAAGCAGAGGACTCCGAGTAATGAAAAGTAGGGTTGATTCCCTTTTGAGGAAGCCAAGCAAGCAAGCTTCCTCGCCACACGATTTTTGGCAAGAGGATGAGTTACTGAAAAGTCGGTTTTAACATTCGCGATTTTGTCTGCTTGGTTTTCCTTGTAAAGCAACAAACTGGGCGTCCCAAGCCACACATAAGGCTATTTGTGTTTGGTTTTCCCTAGATGGAGGGCTTCATTCGTGGCTTGCGCTGAAGCAGTTTGGTGCCTTGCTTGGTGCCTCTGCGGTATCAAAACCCGCCCGCAGGCAAGGGAGCCGAGGCAACGCAATGTGGATCTTTTTCGCGCGAACGGATCTTGGGTTCTTTGTTTTCTTGGGCTGCGTCATGTCAATGTGTTTAGCTGTTTCGGTTTGAAACCTTGAAAGCACGTGTCAGCCCTTTGCCAGGCAAACGATCCTCGTACTTGTGTTGTTGTTGCTTTTGTCAGTGCCCACAAGCCATTTGCATTTTTACTTGTCTCCCTTGGCGCGTTTTGTGTTTGGCACTCACTTGAAGCAGAACCACATCTTGCTGCAGGGGATTGCATTCCGCTGTGCCGTTTTGCCGTTCTGCTGTTCGGCCATCGCTGAACGAAACCTTTCCTCTGCAGCACGTTTTTTGGGCCTTCGCTTGCTTGCCTTTTCCATGCCAGCCTGCAGCCAAGTTGGATGCTTTGCTTCCGCAGATGTGTTTGACAAGCCGCACATTTGCTGAGAGAGATATGCCAAGCTTTCTTTCGTTTTTCGATCCCAACAGGCTTCTGTGATCAGTCGATCGACCGATCGGCCGAGCTGATCAATTGAGGTTACCAAGTATTGGCTGCATTTGGACATCGACACGGTCTTCCACCAGGTTCCGCCTTGCTTCACTCGTGGGGGGCCAGGGGCGGTTAGCTGGACTCACTGCGCGAAAGTTTGGTGGCCCGCTCGACAATTCGGGTTTCAATGTGCCTTGAATACCCGCCGACCACCCTGGTTTTGGGTCCAAAGCCGCGCTTTGGTGGTCAAATGCGCCCCTAAACACCTGGGCACCCCCCAAATTGCCAAAAAGGGCTCAAGCAAGGAGCCCAAAAGGTTTGCAGGCTATCGGATTTGTTTTCACGTTGAACACCAAAACCAGAAGCCCCAAATGAAGAAAAAAATAACCGGCGCTGGACGTGGGTTTAGGGCGTATGATTTAGGGTTTACCGAAATTTACCGAAATTGTGGAAGACCCGCGTTGCCGATTTCGGATTCGAGCGGGTTTCAGCATGTTTGCACTCGCCTCCTTCGGCTTCCATTCATCCAAGCCTCGATTGGCTCTTAGCCGTCTTTGGAGATGCCCGAAGAAAGCAGGCCAAGTATGCAGTCGTGGGTGATGTACTGCAGGTCCAGACTTGGGTGTGTCTCAGAATGGGGAGTTTGCTGGCCTTTTGCACTTTTTAGGCTTAGAGATGTGACACAGCCCTCCTCGCGCTATTTTGCCAGGATTTCTACATGTCGCGTCTACTGCAGCCGATCTATGACCAGAAGGACAGTCGGGGCTTCTCTGGGCTCGATATCGAGCTGCTTGAGGGGTGGTGTGCGTGCGTTTTTTGAACAATACAACCCCCCTTATCAAACAAAACTTGGGGGTGGATAGGGGGGAAGCCTACATCCAAATCGGGGCTCAGAGGTGGGCCCAAGTAGTCTCTCCGCAAGTCTTGCGCCTTTTGGTCCTAGGTCTTCTTCAATCCGCTTCGGTCCTCTTTGGTGCTCTTTGGTCCTCTTTGTCTCTCTCTGCGAGGTACCGGTTTGGTATAGACCTGTTTGAGCATTCCTTTGAGCTTGGTGTAGTAATTCTTGGTTTGGTATTCCTTTGTGTTTCTGTCCTCTATTTCCGCTCCTTAAACATCCGTGCAGGGCCTTTGCCGTAAAGCGTTTCAACTGGAAATTCGAATTCTCATACAGACCCGGTGCCCGAGAAGCGCCAAACAGCGTCTCTTTTTTGCGATCCGATATGCTTTTCGTGTGTTTTTATTGGTTGTGGCTTAAAAGGAAACCACAAGGAGTGCGACCATTTTAAGGTCCCCCGATTTTCGCACACACGCATGCGGTCCAAGACTCGTTTGTAGCAGCAAACATGGCCAGAGTCTCCTGTAAAACAGAACCGGTAGAATCAACCCCTTTGTGTTCCCTTTAAATACGAATGTGTCAAAACTGGAACCGCTTTGTGACCCATCGAAGAAGGACACCATGACACCAACGGTTCAAGTCTCTTCTGGCATTGTGTGGGGCTTGGCAAACAGATTGGTTTCCTTCAACAAATCCCGAACAATGGGGTCAGTCATTTGGCCGCAGAATCAGAGCCGCAGCTTCGCAAAGGACCTAAAGCAATAGTGCAGCAATACAATAACTTACATATTCAATCTGTCACAATCATTATGTGTTTTTAACGTGCTCGTTATTTTGGCCGCTTCCCGGGGGGGGGGGGGGGTGTCGTCAACATTGGACACTGGGGTCATTTCCCTGAAAACTACCAGAGTTATGGCAAGATGATGAGTTTAGTGCACACTTGTGTTTTTTTTTTGGCCGGGGGGTGGGTGGGTACCTGACACGCAACCTCATGGACAAACAAACCATGTAAAAGCAAAGGCAACAACACTTTAAAGGATGAACCTCAAGTCATGGTGTCCTCTTGTGCTTTGCCATATGGCTGTGGGTCAACACCCTGTACCTCTGGTGAATCTCAAAATAGGTGGCAAATGGATGTTCATCCAACCCAAAATGGCTCGCCATGGGTTAAGCCCCATGGCCATATCTCGTGACCTGCGCGGCGCGTGACCCGTCTTTTGCGCTCCAAGGAGCGCTGCGCTGCGGCCATCGCGGCGGCCGGGACCCGTCCCGGGCTTTTGGAGGGGAGTTTCCAGCTTGCATGCCCTGAAGCGAGTCGAGACGAAGGCAAAGACCTCATAGCTGTCTCTTGGCAAGGTGGGGGCTTTGTGGTTTCCATTTTGGATAGCCCAGCTGTATCTTGTGGGGGCAAGTACCCCCCAGAGCCGAGATTCGTGCGCATGTTGAGGGGAAGCCAGCGGCGAAGGGCCGAAACAGTTGGGGTCGCTCAGAAGTGTTGCCCAGAAGGGTCGAATTATTAGTATTACAGTGTTTATGAGTATTCTTAGATGCAACAGTCAAAGCTTGAAGCTTGGCAGTCACACGTGTTGCTCAGAATTGTGGCTCAAGCATGTTGTTCAGAAGATTTGCTCAGGTGTTGCCCGCAAGTGCCACTCAGAAGTCTGAATCAAAGGAAAAGTCCAAAGTGCCGCCCCACACTGTCGCGAAGAAGTGATGAAGTGCTAGCGAGTTTTTGGTCGGTCGAATGATATGTCCAGACGTGCCCTTGAAAGCATCAGGGGATCCGCTTGGGCTGAGTCCGACATGGCCTAAGTGTGGTTTAGAAGCACCGAGTTGCAATAGGCAGAAGTGTTGGTGACAAGTTTTGTTGCGCGCTAGGATTTTTCGAAGAATCCGGCAGACACGTCATTTGAACAGGTCGACCCAAAGCGTTGCTGCTTCAATAAAGCAGGCTCAAATGCGTTGTTCTCAAACGCCGATCAAAGGTTTGCAAATGAGTCGCCAACACCCAAGCGGATCATCTAGCAACATCGTCTCTCAGAAGTGTCGAACTGATGACTCCATGCAAATTCATCTCTGAGTATTCCAAAGAACAGCCACAGACAGCGTCTAGTTCATGTTCAGTTTATCTTTAGCATGCAAACGATGGCTGTAGGGAGGCCAAAGGAAGCCAAGCATGTGGATGGGTTCCCGAACTTCAAAGGGTTGAAAACCGGTGATTTGCATGTCGGGTATGGATTCTGGTTTTGCAACTTAGAACCCTTTGGCCATTTGCAAGGGCAAATCGCTTTCGGCTTCCAAATTCCCCTGGTTCGGAGTCATCTTGGCCAGGCGCAGACCAGCACAGAGACGAGCACGTCCACAAGGACGACAAGAACGACCACTCTGCCTGTCACTACCATTGCCTGGGGCCGAAGCAGAAATCCCATGCGATTTGTCCCTTCTCGTTGACCTTGGACAGTGGCAGCTTCAGTGGAACCCACCAGTCAATCGCAGCTTTTGAAGGGGGCACTTATCATGCGGATAGCCAGGCCTCAAGATCCAGGATGTTTGTTTAGACCTCGCTCATGACGTTTCATTGCACAGGGATTCAGGTACATTTTCGCTCAATGAATGATAATTCATCCTGGGTGCCAGGTCCCGTTCCTCAAGATCAAGTGGTTGCCGACGGTAGCCAGTGTCTTCCCAGACAGTGTTGCAACGACCAGGCTAACTTTGTCAACTGCGTTTGTTTTTGTTTTTCTTCCTGGCAAAGGCCAGATCATGTTCTTCCTGGCAGCGGCAATGAAAGCAGCTGAGGCTCCTTACACGACCAGCTCGCAGTTGTTGCCTCAAAAGCGAGATGCTTTTGCAAGAGGTTTGGCGGAGCGTCAGACGCCGCAGTTGAAACAAGCGTTGCCTTTTTGTGGAAGGGAAGAACCTCATAGGTGCCAAAGGGGAGGTTTCCTTGTGTGTTTCTGATATCCGCTTTTTTGGTTCACATTGCCACCCGGCAACAACCCGGGATTTGAACGAAAAATCTGAGGCCGGCTCCGGCAGCCGTTCCGGAGGACGCGACTGCGTGGGCTCGAGCCCCAGGGATATATACCATAAATCCTACAACTATTGAACCGGCATCAGCATCTCTATGTCTGTCTGGGACCTCGGGACTTCATCCATTTCAGTCAGTGGGCGCAAGAAGCCTAGTTTTCTAGGGTTGCTGAAGGGAAGGTCGGTTCGGCGTGTGTTGGTTTCCATTTTTCTACCCTCGAAATCCAGGGATTTCGGAGCAAAGAAGCGAGAGGAATCTTGGGGGACTGGGTCCACCCCCTTTTTGGGGCCTGAGAAATTTCGCAGAATGGTCGCAACGAACGGCCATTCGGGTACCATCGGTGGGTTAGAAACAACTTCACCGAGGCGAATCCAGAAGAGGCAGCGGCATGCCCAATTGAACCGGGACCCGCTTGATATCAAGGGAGTTTGTCCGCGGCTGTATAGAATAGGAGACTCGCTGGATCGAGGTATGTGGCCCAATTATGGGTTCTGTACGGGGTCTTCTTTTGTTGCGCCTCGAAACCGAAGACCTGGCTGAAGTGTTGGTCGCCTTCCGCTGTCGTAAGCTTCAGGCGTCGGATGGCTACGACCAGGCCAATGGGCAACGAAGCTGAGACGTGACTTCCGAACGCCCACTGAGCTCACATGTGACCTGGGAACTTCGGAGTTTTGCCGATCTGGGAAGCGCGATACGTACTGCTGGATCTGGGCGTCCAATGATTCAATTCCACCCAGTGAACCCGGCCCCAAGAACGCTGCAGCCGCCCGGGGGGTGGCTGTAAATCCGGAACACCCCGGCCCCCCCCAAAAAATGGGTGGCTTCCGTTCATAACAACCTTTAAATTCGGTGGTTCCCAGTTTCACTCTAGTTTTCCTCTAGTTTCCCTCGTAGTATCCCTCTAAATTCTCTCTGAACCTTCACAGCGGGTTGCTTTTCTCTTGGAATCAATTTCCTCCACAAATGGGCGGTTTTGCCTTAAAAGCACCCTCAACGTAGGGTCTAGCTCACTGAACAGACCTTGCAAAGGGCGGGTGCAGGGTGTGGTCAAAATCAATGCATGCATCATTCCTCGATATTCATGACGCAATTTGGCTGAGTGGTACCCTTATAGTACGTACCTGGAAGATAGACGCACCTGCCAGGCCTATCCCGAGGATGAAACGCGCTACGACTACGCGCCTGAAGGCGTTGAAAGCTCGGGCCTCTATCTGCAAGGCAGTCTGTACCCTGTGATCTGGGCCACAAATTAGTTCTTGATGTCCTTTGGTTTACACTCAGTCAGAATCGGCTAGGCTCATGTCGAAAGGCTATTGCTGAACTTGACGTGATTTCGCCAAGCTGCTTCTAACCGGCAGCTTCCGTGGAATGACGGCATGAATTGTCCCATATTTCCACACCAACGAGCAATTGAGCAACCGGGAGGTTTCATACGCATCTCGTATACGAGTTTCTGTTTGAGTGAGTTGCGCCCCAAAGAATCTGAACACCTTTCCGATTTGGACGCGGGCAACGCAACTCGTTGACACAGCCAGATTCCCAAGCACTCCCACGAAGTCAACAGCTTGAGGCAACTTTGCAGGCGTCCACTGCATTTCGACTGGACCTGGTTTGATGCAGGCGTCCAAACAGCATTCGCCTCCCCTCCATCCCACCCGAAGATAAGTCACCCGTCAACGCCTGTAGGCTTCGATGCCGAGAGACGTCGAGATGATCTCGAGAGCCGAAGCGAAGGCCAGCCCAAGGTCTCAGGAAGGTCCGGCTTGGGATGCTGGCTTCATGCTGGTCCGGCCAACACGGTTTTCCAGCATCCTTGTTAGAGACAGAGACCCTGCCTTTGAAAGCAGTACGCAAAGAATCATCCTGCTGGTGCTCAGCAGGGAATGAGGGAATGACCCCTATATAAGCAATCCTTTGGGGTTTCCTTTGAGGTAATCCCCAAAAAGGGTTCATTCCCAACAATCGGACTCGGACTCGGTCATTCCAAACCTATTGCACCAGCAAGCAATTTCGGCAGGCCCTGAATGTAGCCCTTTTGACAACATCCAACTCCGAGGCTTTTTGAAAGGCGCATCCGCAAAAGCACCAGGGGAAGCTTGCGGGATTTTCCGGGGTCAAGATGGGAATGACATATGTGCCCTCAAAGGATCTGGCTGCCCCCTGGCATGGTTCCACTATAAGGAGGGTCTCACAATGAGTTCTGGCCAAGACACATATGAGGCAGGTTTGCATTGACAAGAGTTGAGAGCGGTCAGGCTCAACCCTGAAAGCACACACAGTCATTTTGGCCGTTTGGTGGCGAATGGCTTATGGCATTCATGGAGAAGCCTTGCCATCCTGAACATTCGAAAATGCTACCTGGTGTTTGGAATTTCTGAGATGAGCCACATGTTTCGTGGGGTCTGTGAGTCTAAGCGCCCCAACAGGATTCCCAAAGCTTGTGCCCTTGCAGCCGAGCGGCTCGAGTGGTCGTATCATGGCGCAGGCCCGGGGTTTGGGGCCCTCAACGCGCCATGCTGCGTGAGCATTTTCCTGTGCGCGTCTGTGGATGTTAGTCCTTGGAATGCATAGCAGGTTGGTCATCTCCAGTGTTTTTCAGACATTTTCCGGCAGTTAAAGGGTTGGATTCCTCATGGATACGACTTGTTAACAGCATGTTGTCATATGTGCAATGTATGTGGTCTGTTCGATAAACCAACTCGAGAAGCAACATGTTGGGTCCAGGGGGGGGGGTAAGCCGGGAATTTCAATGTCAAGTCTCTCGGCACTTTGAAATCCTCACAGCCTCAGCCGGTCCATGTTCGTGTACATGCTAGCAGGCGGCACATTGCCTTCGTGCGCTCGCCGAAAATGTGCGAAAAGGCTTTCAATGCCTGGCCGAGAGAAAAAGAGACATGCCATGGGGTCCACTTGTTTGAGCCAGGCGTGAGTCTCAGCGTCCCATCTTGTTGCGGAGGCTTGAGAACTCTGAAAGCTGCTGCAAAGCAGAAGCCGACGGCCCCGACCAACGGAGTAAGCTTCTGCTAGTGAGAGGGGACCAAGGGTGTGAGAGTTTGGCAAGCACCAAGAGGGCACCGCCTTGGGCAAATGCCTAGAAGGGGGGAGTTTGACCACTGGAGTGTAATCAGACAGGCCGTGCCGCGCACGTGCCGATGGCAAGTTCATTCTTTTGAACGCGCTTTGCAGACCTGTGCTGTTGTCCGAGGCCACCAAGTACTTTCCAGTGTCCAAGACAAATGATACGCAGGGTTGTCCAGACAAGCGAAGTGAAGCGGATGGATGCGAATGCCCCACCGGAAAGTATCTGCATGAGCCCCATGGACTGCGTGACAACTCCAATTGCTGATTGTGCTACGAGTGCCGTCAACAACGAACGTTGAAGGAAAGCCGGAAAAGCGAGATGTCAACATGCGTGTTCTTCTGTTCCCGCCGCAGGAAGGGGGGGGGGGCGGGGTTGAGAGGTTTCTTTGCCCCGAGTTGCTTCATTGCAAGTATGCACGGTGATGTGTATGTATCGTATTACACACAAACATGCTATACAGACATACATGCATGCTCAGTCACACCTAGTTCAATCATAGAATCTCTGGACCAAAGAGCCTGCTTGCATGCGAGCTTTGTCGTGATTGACGCCTACATCGGCCTATGCTTGTTGCAAAAAGGACCCCCAAAAAGAAGTTTGAGATCCCATGAGCCAGGCTTGACGGAGCCCAGGTGTTTTTGGAGGGCAGTCGATCCGATATTTTTTCTGTTTGAGCAGACGGCTAGGTCCAGGTGTCCATGTCGCAGCGCGGGCCACCCCCGGGGCCCTGGCAAAGTTCGCTCTTGGGTTGCTGTGCAAGCCCCCTGAGGCAGGGCTCCGGCCGGACAAAAGCCAAGCGAATCCTAGGTTTTATTCACTGCAGCGCGTCCCCTGAAAATCGGATCCCCTTTGAGTTAGTTTGGTTGAAATGGATTTCACTTCCCATCTATTTGTATTCAAGAACACCAGAGCTGGTCGCAGGTTTCCAAGTTGCGGGTGTTTTCTGGGCCCATTGGCCTTGTCTCACAAGAGGAACCCCCGCAAATGAATCTCTGTATTTAGGGTTTCGCCTTCGAACAATCCCACAAAGGATACCTATCCCGGTTCCAGTTATCACATGCCTATTCCACTGATAACCTGAATATTCTTACTTTCCCCTGGTTTAAAGGGAATCTTTCACTACTGATATTTTAATTCTTTCCAGGGAAACTTCCGCAAAATGGAAGTACCTGGAAGCACTGCGAGCTTCCCCCAGACGACAGCTCCAGGG